TGAGGAAATGAAACTTGTGAGTCAGATGTTTTGTGTTTGTATGGATTTCTGACCAAATAAATATGTTGTCTGAATATATGTTTTTATTTTATTTTTCTATTCTATATATTGGTTCTTCGTTACAGACGAGAAAAAGCGATCAAATACATTGAATTTTGCTAAATCTCTATTTTTCTTTGGCATGAAGATTCTAATTTACTGGTCAAAGTTTGTTAAACATTAGTTCTCACATTCAAATTGTTAGTTGACCAATTGTAGGTAACTCTTGTGGTCAATATTATTGCCTCCCTTTTGGATATTGCACTATGCTCCAAAATTCGAATAAGGATGTTTGAAATCTTTTTTTTTTGAACAAAACTACGATTTTATAAAGCATACGAAAGTTACTCTCCAACAGAGGAGGTTACAGATGAAGATAATAAAGCTGTTTTTGCCAAAGAGTCAGCGGTAACATTGCTTAAACGTGAAATAAAATTGAAAGAAATAGCTTCGAAGGAGAGCCTTAGGAAGCTAATATCATGGAGGAGTTCCTTAAGCTCAATGGTAGATCCATCCGAGTTAATTAGGGAGATAAGAACTTGCGAGTCTGAATACATGTTCAGCTCTTTGAGGCCTGCTGCCGACGCGTCTACAAGGGCATGTTTCATGGCCAAAGCCTTCGCTACCAACGCAGAAGGTACGTGAGATCTAGTAGCTGAGTTTTGGAACAGAGTACTCTGGTTAGTGTTCTGGAAAGACCATCCCATACCACAAGCTTTCGTTGTGTTGTTCCAGGCTGCATCGACAAATCCGTTAGGGGCCTCCTGGATGATGGATTGAGAACGAGGTGCACCTGCAGGCCGTGAAGGTTTTTGTAGTTGGGATTGTGCTTGCTGCCATTCTCTAGCTTCTCTAATGGATTTTACAACCAGTTCTTCTTCTGAGAAGCATTGATCCTCAAAAATGAGTTGATTTGGTAAGTTAACCATACGCAATAGGTTAACCATGGTAAGATCCAAGGATACAATGGAGAAGGACCTATGCCCGATGGAGGTAAGTTAACCATACGCAATAGGTCTTGAAGGAGCAACCTCGGGGTGATGGTGGCGGTTGGTTGAGGTTTGAAAAGATCTGGTACTAGCTCCCAAACTTTAACCGCATAAGGACATGTTAATAGGAGATGAATCTCATCTTCATAACCATGACATTTCTTGCACAAACTATTAGAGATAGTTATGTTCCTTTGGAGAAGATTACTTTTGACAGGTAGCACGTCACAAGCAACCTTCCAAAGAAAATATTTTATTTTTTGGGCTGTTTGTATGTGCCAAATGCTCTTTTCCAGTTGAATGTATCCGAAGAAGGAGAGGGTAGATGTCTAAGTAGAACATACCCTGTCTTTGAGGAATATTCACCGGACTTCTCCGGAAGCCAAACTAAAGAGTCTTCCATTGAGCTTGAACTTGGTATCAATTGTCGCATAGTGTCCTCATATTGAGGTAAGTGTGTTCTAATGGCAGAAAGGTCCCATTCATTGGAAGCTGGATGGAGCAGATCACTAACTCTAAGAGACGAGTTTAAATATGCCGGTGGGAGCCTGGGGATGCACTGTTGACAGCCAATTATTCTCCCATATTGGTATGGACTTTCCATTTCCTATGCACCAGCCAAGACCTTTGCGTAT